CTGTTGAGCACCCAACATAATGAATAAAAGCACGGGCTCCAGGGGCAGCCTGTATTGGATTTAAATCCAGGCTCTGTCTGAACTTGGGCAGAGCTGTTCACCTCTCTAAGCCTCAGCCTTTTCCTCAAGAAAATGGGGTCCATAACAAAGGGATAGGGAGGAAAAGATGAGATGACTCCAAGTGCTCTGCAGAGATGGACAAAGTTAAGGGGTAAGCGAGGCAGGCAGTGGGTGCCAAAGCACCCTTGAACTAGGGAACCCACAGGTCTCAGGTAGACTGTCAGACTCCCTAAAGGCCTGAATGACTGAGCTGCTCTGGTGGGGATAGCTATTTAATTGGTAGACCACAGTCCCACAGAGTCAATCTCTTTCTTTAAAAGGAAGAGATCATATATCCAGAGATGTAATTTTTTCAATCCAGGGGCTCAATGGTGAGAAACAGAGCAGAGGCATAAAGTCAGGTGGATATTGCTCAGTAAGCAGTCACCATCACATTTTCACGATGGAAACACTTGTCTGTCTGAATCAGACCTTATCGTTACACGTGGAGTAGTATTTCTTCTCCCAACTCTGCAGTCACTGCGTTTCTCCAGCAGCATCAGGGCATCGTGGTGTTTTCCCCAGTTGCCATGGAAAACTTGATTTCAAATCCAGAAAATCCCCGACTAATTGTAAGGTCCAGGAATTAGAGATTCTGATTAATTGAATTTTCCAGGCAATTGAGTGCTAATCAGAAAATCACTTGCATTTTAACTGCTCTGGCTGGCTATATGTCAGTAAGCTTGCTCTTACTCTGAACTCTGGCTCTGTCACTGAGGAGCTTTGTAGCCTTGGGCAAGTTACTTAATGTCTTAGTTCTCTATTAGCACATCACAAATTACCTCAAATTTAGAGGCCTAAAATAACACACAGTACCTCCCAGTTTCTGTGGGTTCAGTAGTCCAGGCAGAGCTTAGCTGGTCTTCTCAATGCTACATCAAGGTGACTGTGGACTCTTTTCTGGAGCTCTGGGCCCTTTCCCTGCTCACATGGCTGTGGGCAGAATTCAGTTCCTCGCAGTTGTGACTGGGGTTCCCATTGTCTTGGTGGTTATCAACTGGGACTGCTCCCGGAGGTCGTCTGCGGCTCTTTGCTATGTGACCCTCTCACAACCTGTTTAACTTCCCTGACATTAACTTGGTTAGTGTTCACCATGACCCTCTGAAGTAGTTGCAGTTGTTATTCCGGCTGAACAGATGAGGAAGCTGAGGCTAAATGAGGTGTTGTGGTTGGTACACGGATATCTAGCAAGTGGCAGAGGCCAGCTCAAAGTCAAGTTGGTCTGGCTTCAAAGCCTATGTGTGACCTTCTGTTGTCCATGTCTTATTAAAAGTTGGTTGAGTTTTATTTTGGAGTATATTTCTTACACACTGGATAGAGAGGTTCTTAGGAAAAGGAGGCTTCATTATATGTGTCCCAGATCCATATATAAGTTCTGGCACATTATGGGTGACTAGAAATGTTTGTTGAATGGATGGATAAGCGTTGGTGAGTGGCAGATATTTGGATGGATGGATGGATGGATGGCTGATTGGATGGAAGGATGGGTGACTGGGTAGAAGATGATGGATGGATGTTATGAGGGATGGTGTAGGTGGTTAATAGGCAAGTGAATGGATGGATAGATGGATGGATAGGTTGGATGGAATAGATGGGTGACTGGGATGGTGGATTGGATGGGTGGTGAGTGAATGGATGATAGATAGATAGATGGACAACTGTGGTTAGTGAATGAATGTGGTGGATGGGTATTTTTGAAAGGGTATGGGTGTGTGGAAAATAAATGGATGGAGAATAGGTTGGGTATTCGCTGTCATATCGAGTGGGTGGTGGGTGGAGGGATGAGTGTGTAGCTGGGTTGGTGGTGAATGGGGGTGGGCGTGCCATAGGTGGGCAGAAACAGACAATAACTTCTCTCCCATCTAATAGTCATATCTTCCTATACATTTTCTACTTTTCCTCTGCAATCATCTTATATTGTATATATCATTTATCTACAAGACTCAGGCTGGCCTAAATTCATCATTGAATTGATCCCCATAAAAGTATATTCAGATTTACGAATTCATAAATTGCAGGATATCACAGGGTTTGGCAGAAACCTGTATCTCTAGAATGGAGTGAGCTGAATGGCTGCTTAATGGGTGGACAGCACCAGACCCCCTGGGATAAATCCCTGCCCAGTGCAGCCCAGAGCCCTGGGTGCTGAGGGCTGCTTCGGCTCCTACCAGCCTGCAAATGAAAGGAACTTTGCTTTTGCAAGAGCTGATGCAATCTCGCTGACAGAACTGTGTGGAGCCCTCCCAATACCAGGGTGGGTAACCAGGTCCTGTGGCATCACTAGAGCATTCTGTGCCGCCCCACTCCATTCCAGAGCCATGTTCTGTTCCCTGATATCATTTAGGAAGCGTGCAGTAACAATGATAGTGTAATGAGGATAGAGGTGAGCCATCTATTCCCTTTACTGGGGTCACAGCTCCTATCAGGTAGCCCAACCCAGTAACCGTACCTCCCCAGACCCTCCAAATCAAGCAGTGGGCATTAGTCACTTTACCACGTTACAAACAGCCTCAAAATCTCAGTGGCTATAGGAGCAAATATTTGGTTCTGCTCACAGGTCTGTAGGTCACCTTGGGCACTGTTGGGCTCAGATGATCTTGATCCAGGCTGCCAGCTGGGTTCAGATCTGCTCCATGAGTTTCCTCCTTCTGAGGTGAACAGATTCCTGGAGCACATTCTTCTCATGGCAAATGACAGAAACAAGCACATTTCTAGCCTCAGCTCACATCACTTTCTGCTTCACGTTCTGTTGACCTAAGCAAGTCACATGGTCAAGCCCTAACCAATGCCTGGGGGTGTTCATTCTTTCTATTGTACTAGGAGGCACTACAGGATCACATGGCTCAGGAAGAGAAACGCTGAAACAATCATCTGGGCTATTCCAGGATAGTGATGGCTCCTCTTGGCGTAGCCCTGGCATCGTGTGTTGGCTTTCCAATGCCCCCGTCACACATTTGTAAACAGTGCATGTATGTCCAATTTTAACAGCTATTTTATTAAGTATGTTTTAGTGTCATTTTTTCTTATTAAATTCTCCTCAAATTACCCAGTTTGAGGGTATTATCTGTTTCTTGAAGAACATATTTAATCCATTGTGCATTTGAGTCCGTCTCCCTGAGAGCCTCCTCCGTGCCCAGCTTGGGAGGGATAACAATCAGATGAACTAAAATAATGCCCTTCTTGCTGAGCTTACACTCTCCGTGCATGGGGGTAATTTGTCTTTATGTGCATTATCTAATATAATGGTCAGCTATCTTTGGTAGGGGCTTCTATTATTAGTTCAATATAAAGAAATTAAGGCTCAAAGTAGTCAAGCGACTTAATCCAAAGTAACTTTGAGTGTTTGGAGGTGAAAGAAGCAGGATTTGACCTCAGGTCCACCTGACTGCACAGCCTCTTAATGACTTGACTTGATAGCTTCATGTTGTAGTAAAACAAGTGTTTTGCAAATATAGGCTCATTTCTTCATCATCTGAGCAATAGGTTCAGTTTATTGCCCATGTTATAGATGAGACAACTAAGTATCAGGGAATGGAGTCCGATTTCCCATAGTACCGTAGGTAGGAAATTGCACAGTGGAAATACAAATCCAGTTCTACCCATCTCCAAAACTTGTTTCTTTCTAACATACCTCACTGCCGATCCAATCTCCTCTCTAAACAAGACTGTCCTGAGCTGTTCCCAATGGAAATTCTGGCCAGCTCTGACCACAGCCCACTAAACAGAGGTCAGCCCCCTCTACTTTCTACTTCGTCTCTCCCCTAATAACCTGGCCCCTCTCCAGGCCCCTGCAATTTTTCCACTCCCATGTCAGCTGCTTTTCAGAGCCGTCTGTCAACCATGCTTTGCAGCCCATTCGATGAAGAGCAAATCTGTATTGATTTCAGAATAACTCAAGCTGTAAATTATAGGTCATGATTGGCTTGGTCACCCTGAGATGATAATCTATTGACTGTACCAGAGGTCTAAATCTAATTATCACCCCCAGGAAACCCAAAGGCAGGGTGGCCCCAATGCCTTCGTAAAAAGGAACTATTAGTTCGTCCAAGAACTACCTGCAAAAATGCATACTGCATCATTTAGAGCTGGCTCTGGTCTTTGACGGGTCAAGTCTAGTGGTTTACTTTGACCATCAAATTAAGTATGAGAACTGACCTTGAACCATTTGTGTTAATAGTAGTAATAATAACAATGACACAACAATAACTGATAGTCACAGACCACTTTGCATGCACTATTTCATTCTAAAGCCTCACAATAGGCCTGCTCTACTAAATAGCTGTATGATTCTGGGCAAGTTACTTAGCTCCTGTGACCTGTTTTCTCATCTAAAAAATGAGGGATAATAGCGACACCTCCCTTATCATGTTGAGGGAAAGGTTAAACAAAGTCATTTATATAAATTGTTAAGCTCAGGAGTTAAGTGTATGCTTACCCTTGTTATTCATGAAGAAATAGAAGCCCAGAGATATTAAGAGACTTGCCCAAGGTCACATAGCTAGCACAGGGTTTTGTCTGGATCATGGGCCACTGTTTTTAAAATACTTAATTCCCAGCATTAGAAAATGGAGCTAATAGCTTGTTTCTCTTGAAAAAACTGGCAGCACTGAGCCTGCATTTCTTTCTACCACACTTCCCTGCTAAACAAAGCTATTCTCTCAGGTCAGTGCCAAAGCCCAGCTGCAGTTTCTTGAGCAACTGCCCCCCCCACCCCCGCCCATTCTGGGTTTTTGAGGTTGTCTGTCATGTGCTGGCTCAAATGCCTGCATCAGATTATGCTGGCCAGCAGCTGTTCCAGTTACTTGGGGATCTGTTCCTGGTTAACCCCAGTACCCACCATTCCCTGTTGCCCTGCACTTGACCCACTTCTCTCACTCACCATGCCTGTCTGTCCCCTGTAGGCACGTGAGATTGTAGGGTAGATGAACACACTCAAGTCTCATGTCACATCCCTGAGGGGTATACTATTATCATTCCCAGTTTATTGACGCAGAAACAAGTTCAAGGAGACAGTGACTTGCCCAAGGTCACACAGCCAGCAAGTGTCAGAACAAGGTTTCAGACACAAGCCTACCTACTCCCAGAGCCAACCTTCTTTATCCTTTTCGGAGGTTCCTTCCCAGGCTCACCGGCTAAATGAACATCTGCAAGCAGAGACAAGAAAGGAAAATCAGCGTCAATCTCTCACACTGGGAAGAAATATAAAAAGAGAGAGCGCTCAAGTCCGCTTTCAGATCTCACAGACTCTCCTGCAATGACTTTTTGGAGAACAAAAGGGCTGTTTCCAAAGGCTGATGGCTCAGACAGTGCAAGATCCTTATCGGTGAGAGCACAGAGCTTAACATCTGTCCCTGTTCTGTGGCCATCGTCAAAAGGCTTCCACATTCAGTTTGCTGTTTCTTTTTCATTCTTCAGACCTCACAGGAAAGCAAGAGGCAGGGAGGGCTATGGCTGACATGTCCCCACACCCAGTGGGTGGCAGTGCCAAGGCCCCACTGTCTGTCAGCCCCAGAGAAGAGAGAGCCCCCCCACCCCGACCCCAGATAAAGCATCGATGGAGAAAGATTTCATTTTCTCTCCTCTAGGAGCTGACAGCTTGGACAGTAGCTTGCAAGGAACAAACTTTATTCTCAGGAAGACAGGCCCGAGCTTTAAATGATCTCATGAATATTTATCGTTTTTCTCCCTGCCACCTCAGCCTCACTGCCGGTGGATGCCTCATAGCTCTGCAGAAGCAGCTTGTCCGCACTCTGGGATGCCACCAGGTGGCGATGTTGTCTACTGAATGACGGCGATGATAAATCGACATTAGCTCTGTAGTGTATGGAGTGTGCTAAGGGCTTTAGATAGTTTAACTCTTTTCATCCTCACAATGACCCCAAGAAGGAGGGAGTGAGGAGCAGAGAGGTGAAGTTGCTTACCCAAGGTCACACAGCTAGAAAGTATTGGTGACGAGAGTCAAATCCATGCACCAGTGGCCGTTTTCTGTAGCGTAATGCCAGTGTAAAGACCAACTGTCCCTGCCTGGGAAGGCTATGATTCATTATTTCCTGAAGTTATGTCTTTTATTATTATTTATGTGTTAAGATGGTCTTCTTTTATGAAATTATAGGACAATGGGTTTGTATATGTTATTGTTTGCCCTTAATCAAAATTTAAGATTTTCGCTATCTTGTTTCTGTCTCTGCCCTGCCTCCCTCCACCTCACCCCCATACACATCAATATTGCTCCAGGCCCCAAAAATCCAAGATCTAGGACCACGTCTCCTGATGACAAAGCTACTGATCCAACAAGAATTGTTTTGGTAACTTTATAGCCCTAGTAATGATTTACCCCTTTCCAAAAAAATCTCAAATGTATATTGAACACTTACTATTCGTCATTTATTCCAATAACAAGTATTTATTGAACATCTACTAGGGCTAGTGGTAAGTGCTGGAAATACAATGTCAATTGAAAGAGGCATAGTCATTCTCTTAAGGAGCCTGTGGTGGAGATGAGAATGAATCAGATACATGCAAACACGCACATGTGAGGTTATGAGCTATGAAGGAGAGGTACTTAGGTGCTGCGAGAGAGGTGGCTGTAATGTGAACTGTGATGTCGGGCACTCATGAGACGTGTCAGGTTGCCAAGGACTTTAGCACTGAAAGTGTCAGGTCAGGGGCCTCCTCCGTCGCAGGCAAACTGGGCCTGTTGGTCATCCTAATTTCCAGACCAGGTCTCGTCACTTGGGGTACCCCCATGCCTTGTTCTGTTTATCATTTTATTAGGATGTGCCAGGCCAACCTAATGAGCTGAACTTGAGATTTCGCCTTTATTAAACTTTCCGCGTGTGCCCCTGCATCCCAGGTATGCACTCTTGACTGGGAATCGAACCTGCGACCCCTCGGTGCACAGCCCAGCGCCCTAACCACTGAGCACACACCAGGGCTGGATATTTGTTTTCATGTCCAAGAATGAGATTTCAGCTGCAGTTATCTCCAGTGCTGGGCATATAACCTGCAGCGGTGTGTTCACTTATTCAGCAGCATTAACTGAGGTCGTGCTCTGTGCCAAGCCCTGCGCTAGGTGCTGGGGACACGTGAGCGCTGCCCTCGAGGTTCCCAGGGGATGGACACAGGACAGACGCCCACAGAATGGGTCTGTCTTATACATTGTGTATTCTCCAAGCTTCACATGGTGCGCAGCACATAGTAGGAGCTCATTAATTAGCCACTGCTCTGGGCAACAAGACAATATCATGTCTCTGGCATTTGGACTTTGTCGAATAACAGCCTGTCCCATCTGTGCTGTCACATCACCTCTCTGAGACTCAGTTTCCTCTTGTGTAGAATGGGAACTCATATCACAGGCTCCTGTGGGAGCTAATCTGTGAAAAGAGCCTGGCACATGCCGAGTACTCGACAAAGTACAGTCATTGGGGTTAATATTGTCATCACAATGTCAGGGAACCCTGGTCAGCACTCGGCTCTGCATCAGCTGGAAAACGAGGAGCACTGACCACATCCCGGAGTGTCTGGTCCCCAGTGA